TTGAAATTCACCCATTTATTTTTAAATGAAACTATTGGAAAATGTTAAATTGTCTATGTGGTTCACATATTTCTATTGGGCAGCATTGGTGTGGATGAAATGAATTAAGCTGAGCATTAAAACCAGTTAAGCAAGTAGAATTGAACATAACTCTCACTACAGAAATTAATGCAAAAGCCCTAAACCGGTTTTCAAAAAATTGGAGTATAGAAAAATAACATCATAATAGATAGTAGGGTATAGGGTCAAGGGAGTTAAAAACACATTAAAATCATAATTTATTCCAAAGTATTTTTTCAGTTGATATTAGAGAAAGTGAGGGAGGGAAGAGGACACACACAGAGAGAAAGATCAATATGAGAAACATCCATTGGTTGCCTCCTGAACTCACCCTGACCGGGGATCAAACCTGAAACTTGGATATGCCCTACCCTGGGAATTGAACCTGTCACCTTTTGGTGTATGGGACGGTACCCAAAACCAGCGGCTGCCAACCTTTCACACCTCACGGATCTCCAGTGGTCCGCGGACCATGGGCTGGTAACCGCTGCTCTAACCAACTGAGCCACCTGGCCAGGGTGCAGAAGCTTTTTTCTTCACTTGCGTTAAGGTGTCTTGATGGCTGAGTTTTTTACTTTAGTTTTTAACTCCCATCCTTGCACTTTCCTTTTATTGCCTGATTGCTCTGGCCACCTGTTCCCTTCCTGATTTTTCATGGGAACACTTCTGGAATTTACCCTTGGCTGGTATTTGTTGTAGCAAACAGATGGGGAAAGTACAGTTTTCCCCCAGTATGGGGCTTTATCATGAATTGAGTGGTAATTTTACTAAATTCTTTTTCTGTGATGAGTGACATGATTCTGTTAATTTACTAAATGACATTTATAGCTTTTCTAATATTAAATTATTCTTACATTTTTGGAATAAAACCAGCATTGTGATGTTATATTATCTTTCTACTAGAGGCCCAGCGCGCTTGAAATCGAAATTGTGTGAGAGTAGCTCGCCTCTGCTTGCCTCAGCTGGCCACCCGCCATCACAGCTTGTAGCTCTCGCCCTGCCCTCCGCCGCTCAGTAGCTCTCTGCCGCTAGTAGTTCGAGCCCTGCCTGCCGCGAGAGCCGCTGCTCGTTTGGCGTCACGACCACAATTGTACCCGTTTACAGAGACACATTTCAGAGGGTCATGATGGTGTCATGACCACAGGCCTTTTATGATATAGATCTATACACTGTTAGATTGTAGTTGATAATTACTATTTATATTCATGGATGAAATGGGCCCGTGATTTTCTTTCCTGCTCTTGTCTGAGTGCCAGGTTTAAAATGAATGGGGAGTGTTCTCTTCTCTAGAATAGATTGTAGGTAGAATGATATTGTGTCTTGACAACTGGTGGGACTCACCTGTAAAACTGTCTGAGCGTCATGTTTCTTTGGTGGAAAAAATTGAAACTACTGCTTTTATTTCTATATTAATTACGGGAGCATTTAGGCTTTCTGTTTCTTCTCAAGTCAGTGCCAGTTACCACTTTCTTTAGAAATTTTCAAGTTTATTGTCTTGATAGAATTCTTTTATATATAAATATATATATTATTGATTTTTTACAGAGAGGAAGGGAGAGAGTGAGTTAGAAATATCGATGAGAGAGAAACATCGATCAGCTGCCTCCTGCACATCTCCTACTGGGGATGTGCCCACAACCAAGGCACATGCCCTTGACCGGAATCGAACCTGGGACCCTTCAGTCCGCAGGCCAATGCTCCATCCACTGAGCCAAACCGGTTTCAGCTTGATAGAATTCTTTTAAATATCTGCTCTACTTGTAGTTTAGTTTTGCTCTCTTTTTATTAATTATATTACCTATTTGTGCATTTCGTTGTTTTTTTTTCCCCCCCCAGAAATTTGTCTGTCTTCTTAAACCACCAACTTTTGGCTTTGTTGATTTTCTCTTTGAATTTTTTCTTTTCTTTTCACTGATATCTCTAATTTTTAAACAAATTGCTTTCTATCCTGGCAGGTGTTGCTCTGGGCTTAGAGCATCGGCCCAAGCACCAAGCAGTCTCAGGTTTGATTCCCAGTCAAAGGCACATATCTGGATTGATCCCCCATCTGATCTCTCTTACATCGATATCTATCTCTTTCTCTCTCTCTATCCCCTCCCTTTTGCCCTTCCACTCTCGCTAAATATCCTTGGGAAAAATATCCTTGGGTGAATATTAACAAAACAAAAATTTTCTTTCACTCTGTGTTTATTCTGGAAGAATAAAAGTCAAGGTTAGGAATTACTAAGCATGTATTTTATTATATAATTAACAGTGAAGTAGAATATATTCTAGGATTGAAAACTGTTCCTTATTAGAGAAATATAGTCTCATCTGTTTCCTTTGTCAATTTCTTCCTCATTTGTACTGCTATATCAGGTAAAGAGTCAGATGTTTCAGTTAAAAAAAATTCAAGTCAGTTGTAGCATCCATTAAACGTGGCTTGCTTATCTTACATTTAACCAAAAAATTACTCTCGAACCAAATAATATCACCAGTAAGGGTGTTGTCTCTTAAAAATAAGTGGCATATGTACAGTTCAGCACCTATTGCGATGCAAACTTACCTGAACTGTGGTAGAAAGGTACTTTGAACCAGGGGAGCAAGAAGGCCTGCGCCAAGTGGTCAGCATCCGATGCCGCAGCAAGGGGCTGCAGCGACTTCTACCAGATTCAGGTACAAGGATGGGATTTGACCCTGCTGAGATGTTCTGGAGGTTCTAGCTAGTGCCAGTGCCAGAGAAATGAGATGTGATTCTGGAAGGGAAACAGGGTGTGACCATATTTGAAGATGACAACAGTTTGTCAAGGAAATCAACCCCCAAAGTTAAAACTCTTAGAAACAAATGTATCAGATGGCCGGTGACAAATAAATACACAGTGGTCAGTATTTTTCCTATATGTCAGCAGTCAGCAGTGAAAACAGTGTCCCCTGCAGAGCTGGAGACAAAACTGACTTCCCGGGGCACGCGTGCTTTTAAAAGGACTTTTCTAGGAACTAGATTGAGAAGCCAAGGAATTTTACCAAGAAATATAAAAGTCTGGAAAAAAATCAAGACACTGTGCTCCTGGATGGGAAACTCAATGTTATAGAGATGTCATTTCTCTGAAATTAACTTATAAATTTAATGTAATTCTAATAAATGTTCAGTGGAGGTTTGGAACTTGGCAAAGAATATTCTTAAGTTCATCTGGAAGATAAATATATGAGAATAGTCTTTCATAAAAATGTTTGGCCAGTAATGTCACATTCTTAACTTACTTTCATTTCTTTAGGTAGAGAAGGGAGCCTTTTAGTTGAGAAATTGAGTTCTGCATTTCCCTGTTGCCTGCTTGCTTTGTTAATGTCAGTGTTAAATTATTTCCACTTTTCAGGTTGGTGGGAAAGGCGGGTATGAACGTTATCTCCTCTGTCCTGTGCACTAACCTTTGCTTCAGCCACAGTGACCCCTGGTCTCAGGCCAGCATCCCTACGCTGACCTGACCCAGACTTCCAAGGCCGTCCCTTGGTCCTTCGCAAGGACAGAACTGTTTGTAGGAGTAGCTGACATCGAATGATCTGCATCGGCTATGGGAGGTCCCTTATCAGCCAATTGGTTATTCTTCGTTGTGGGCAATATAATCATTTTAGCAATAGCTGACATTACAGAGCGCTTCTTATGACTGAGAACTTGCATATGTCTTTTTATTTAATCCTCAGTGATCTATGAGCCAGGTGTCTTCCCCATTTTCTAGTTAGGAAACTAAAGCACAAACGTTATCTTGACCGAGATGACATAGACAGTAAGTTGCAGAGGTCAGACATCACCCCAGTCCGACGGGCCCCAGTCTGCGCAGTGAAACCACAGGTGGCACAGCTCGTACCTGCATCCAGGAGCCTCCCGCTCATGTGATTTCTGTCTGTAGTTGCTTCATGTGCAGGCTCTGCACCTAGAAGGTTGCTTGCTTGGGGTCATGCATGTTTTGACCTGAGCGGCAGCTTCTCTCTGCGGCCAGGGCCCTGGCTCAGTGCTGACGGCTGTATCTGTCACTGCAGAGCTGCCACTGACTCGGCAGCTCTCAGAGCTTATGAATACAATACTGCTTCATGAACCATATTTGACGTCAGTAGCCCTTTTGGGAACTGTTTGACATTGTGTCCCAAGGTTAGAGGCAGGCATACCCTTAGACCCCTAGTGGCCCTACACATGGCATGTCTGGGCCCTTGTGTGCTGGGACGTGTGTGAGATTATTCAGAGCTGCATGGTTTGTAAGAGCCCAGTCCAAGAATGACCCACGTGTCCATCAGCCTTGGGGAGGATGAATAAATCATGGGTAGTCCTACAATGAAATGCTAGTCAGCAAAGCAAATGAGTAAAATATGCGTGCAAGTGCAACATGGCTGACCCTTGAACCACGGGTGTGGACATACGATTCCCTTTGTCCTGTGGGATGGAACAGGCAGGGAGATAGCCAGCAGGCCAAGGTGCCCTCCAAGACTGTCACCTCGGAGGATGTCTCGGGCCCGGGGACGCAGCCTGCCCGTGTCACTTTATCATTTGTTAACGCTGCATCCATGTTTCCTGTGCTTTTCTGTGAGTGTGGGAAAGTTAACACATGCTTTATGAAGGAGTTTGATGCTGGAATATTTCTGGGAGAATAGCACACTCGATAGTCGGTGTCTGCTCTTCTGTGGTAACTTGAACACAGGCATTCTCAGTTTATGAAAACAAGGAACTTTAAAAAAATCCTCACCTGAGGATATGTTTTCTAAATTTAGAGAGAGGAAGCGGGAGAAGGAGGATGAAAGGGGGAAAGGCGACGGCGGGAGAGAAACTTCCATGGGTTGCCTCCCTTACACATCCCCACGGATGGAATCCACAACCCAGGTATGAGCCCTGACCAGGCATTGAACCGGCAACCCCTCCCGTGCCCTCCTGCCATCAGACTGAGGGTGTTTCTTTCCTTCCCCCGCTGACGTAGGAGAAGTCCCTTGCCTTGGAGTCAGCGTGGAAGAAGGAGAAGGACATTGTTTCCAAGGAGATAGAGAAGCTCCGCCTGTCCATCCAGACGCTGTGCAAGAGTGCGCTGCCCCTGGGCAAAATCATGGACTACCTCCAGGAGGACGCGGACGCCATGCAGAACGAGCTGCAGCTGTGGCACCAGGAGAACCAGCAGCATGCCGAGGCCCTGCAGAAGGAACAGAGGTCAGGGGCGGGTCCGTGGAGGGGGTGTGGGGCAGTGTCAGGACTTCCCCAAGTCTGCAGGCCTCTGGGTGCCCCTGTCATCTTGGTTCCTCATTCCCATCAGGGTGTGCATTTTTTTTTTTGTAGCAGTTAGAAGAGATTTGCAGTTAATGTTCATACACAAAACAGATTTAGGCAATAAAAGATAGAGGAAACTGCAATTTGGATACCATATTTTTCATGTGTTTTATCAAAATTCCCCAAGTTTTATCTGTTTGCAGTTCAAAAGTATTTTATTTTTTTACTCTAAAAGAACTGCTAGTGAACCCATTTTGAAATTGCTACTAAAAAAGAAATGTAATAGTCATTAAAAAGATTATTTTAGAATGATGTTTGATATTTGGTATTTCTAATCAGTGAATCTAGGATGCATGTAACTGTATCAACTGTTGTGTTTTTGCCCTGGCCAGAGGGTTCAGTGGTTAGAGCGCCAGCCCATTCACTGAATAGTCTTGGGTTTGATTCCCCATCAAGGGCATATACCTAGGTTGCAGGTTCGATCCCGACCTGGTGGGAGCGTGTGAGGAAGGCATCAATGTTTCTCTCTCTTCTTCCCTCCCTCCTGGTCACGCTCTAAAAAAATCAGTGGAAAAAAGGAAGAAATACTAGCCTCCTTTGTATAAATTTCATGTTTGACTTCACTTTTGGTTGTGGCGGGATGTGAAAATGAGTGGATCTTCCCCAGGCATGAGGTTTCTGTCCCTTTATGTCATTACCATGTACACTTATATTTTTGCCCTTTTTCTTTTGATGAGATAAGCACTTTTGTAGTCTTTCAGTGTTTTAATTAAGAAGCAAATCTAAAATGAGACGGGATACTTATGAGCCACTGGTTTTGTTCCCGTCAGTATCACGGACAGTGCCGTGGAACCCTTGAAGGTGGAGCTGGCGGAGCTGGAGCAGCTGATTAAAGACCAGCAGGACAAGATCTGTGCCGTGAAGGCCAACATCCTGAAGAACGAGGAGAAAATTCAGAAAATGGTGTACAGTATCAATCTGAGTTCAAGAAGGTGAAAGCTAAAAAATTTCAAAGATTTGAAGTCATCCTCAGTTTGAAAATAAAAAGGCAGATAGAATATAATTTCTCTTTAACTCTCAATTTGCAAAAAAAATAAGAACAATTTATAATGTTATCCAGCTAATTTTCAGAGCTTTCAAAACTGTAGGCACATTCAGTGTATAAAAGACCATGTTTTCTACCTTCCTCAGGCTAGGCTGCTCGCTAGTTATAAACAGCTCTTCCAGACACTGATGGGAATTTCTTTGCAGGCATGTTCTGTCCACAACAGCCTGTGGAGGTTAGTTCTGTACTGACGTTCTCTGGCAGTAGTGCTGTTGGCATACCAAGGCGAGCAGTGGTCATAGATTTCAGGTTCGGGTTTGGTGAGGACTTCTGCAAGTCAGACACTGGATGAAGGGTGACTATGCTTTTGGAGGCACTTTATAAATAGAATGTGGCCTGAACATGAATGGATTATATTTTTAATCCATTTGCACTTGAAAAGGGTTAAAAGGGTTTATTTTTATAAGGATGCAGGTGAACTCTTTAAACCTCTTCATAATTGTATATAATTCTTTATGTAACTTTCTTATTGGTTCCTGTTATCTTTTGCTTGTGTTTCTAACCTGTAAGGTTCATACATTTAAGAAGGCGATTTCGGTGTGGCCATCATGACATTATCTGGACATGAGTTTGTCCCGGCCATCCTCACTTTCTTTGGCATCAGCCCTGCGCCTCCCCCGATGGGCGCTTGTGTGGCTGGCTCTGCAGGAGGCCTGCTCTCCCAGGCCTGGAGCACGTCTTCCCTTCGGACAGGTCTGTGCACCTGTGCACCCGAGAGATGGATAGTTTAGGGGAATCTGAGAAAGGAAGACTTAAAAGGAGGCACAATTTACCAATTTTTTTTATAAGACCTTTTTATGGGGGGAGGAAATTATTTTTTAAAGCCAAATTTTTAAAAATATGGTTTAGATTTAGTTTTTCATTTACATACAATACCGTACATGTCTTCAAGTTTGTATATAAAGGGTTTCACCATTCAGAGATGTACTTACTGGTCCTGATACTTTTATTTCTAGATGCTGTATTTATTATGTAAACCAAGGAGTGCTGGTTAAGTGTTGGAATTGCCTGAGGAAGTTTTGTTTCTCTGAGGGCTAACACAAATGGCACAGCTTGGATTTTTCTTAGTGTGATTTCCAAAATAAATCTTTTACTAAGGTAGTTATATGATTTTCTAAGCTGAGTAAGTTCAAGATCAGATTACCAAGATCTGCCATTTAGAAACACTGGTCTTTTTCTCCTTTCTAAAGTGCACCGTAAAGTTCTGTTTGATCTGATTATACTAAATAGTTTATTGGAGGCGGGGAGGCTTTTTAGCTAACTAGTCCTTCATATACGTACAATCTGTTTTCTACTGAATTGAATGACTTAGCCACAATCCCAAATGGCCCTGTTTTGCTTCAAGATAAGATGTCTGCCCTTTATGAATTTGTATATATGACTAGAATTTTTGTTGCAAAAAATTACATACATTGTATGTGGGTAAAATTTTGTATGAAATAGTCTTTCAAATTGTACCATAAAATTTATTTTTTCTTTTATACATAAATCATTAAAAATAATCGTATTTTTTCTATAAATATATGGGTTGTGCAATTCAGTTCATACCTGGAAGAAGTTTACAAGCATTTGGATTTTTTAAATTTTTGAATGTCCTTTTTTTCTTTGAAGAAAGTTCAGGGAAATGTACCTTTTCCTTCATATTGTAACATTTGCTTCTTTTCTGTATAAATTGAAGTTTTATAAGACAAGCATTTATCAAATTTTAAGATCATTCATGAAGCTTTAGAAAGTCTGATTATAACTGTGTCTTATAGATGAGTTAAATCCTGGTGTTGCTTATTATTTTGATAAACTACACAAATGGGATTATTAAATGTTTTCTCTACTTTGGTTTATAAGTTTTCAGGAAGTACTGGAGTCATACTTCATAATTTTAGTTCTAAAGTTATCTGAGTCCAGCCGGTGTGGTTCAGTGGTTGAGTGTCAACCTATGAACCAGGAGGTCATGGTTTGATTCCTGGTCAGGGCACATGCCTGGGTTGTGGGCTCAATCTCCAGTAGTGGGTGTGCAGGAGGTAGCCAATCAGTGATTCTCTGTCATCATTGATATTTCTATCTCTCAGTCCCTCCCCCTTCCTCTCTGAAATCAATAAAAAATATATATTGAAAAACTATTAAGTGTCAGGGCCCAGGGCACTTTAGGAGCCTATGAGAGTGTAAATTCTTAGAAGACAAAATGAACTTTTAAGTCAAAGCAAATATTTTAATATGTGATATTTTTGCCTTTATATCAATGCGGTTATAAACATTTTAATCTTTTCTACGGAGGAAGGGACCATGGAGGCTCAAGAGTCCTGGGCTATTGTGCAGCCTGAGTTGGTCACTGGGACTCACACCATTGGTCCCCTGTGGCTAGACCAACCGCAAAGGTGACCACCTTCTGCTCTCCACCTGGGACCTGGGGAGCAGAGCAGCACCCGCGTTCTTCCGGCGGGTTTTCCATTTCCAGGGATTAAGGCTCTGAAGGAAGGCGTCTTTGGGGCAGTTTCAATACAAACACGGATGCGTTTAAAAATAGAACTTTCAAATAAAAACTCCTAAACCAGGGATTTGAAGCATTAAGCTCATTTGGATAATTGCAAAATCAAAACCTGGAGTCAGCATGTGGCCTTGGCACTCTCAGCCTGCAGCGCCCCAGCTGAGAGCAGGCCCGGCTCCCCCCAGAGCCTCCTGTCGCCTGTAAAACTGCACACCCATGTCGCTATTTCCCCTCCTGCCACACCTGCCAAAACAACCATTTGTGGGATTAAAATAAAAGTCTTGGACTCCTCACCAATGAACAAGGTCACAATTTATAAAGAGCCAAGTAGTCCCCGGGTGAGTTGGACTGTGTTAAGGGGTCCCCTCACTTCCTCCCAGCCCCGCCCCCAAAAAGGATGAGCCTGGCAGAACCCAGCCTGTAGGGCACTTCATGTCCACACTTGGCCACCACCTGCCAACTCCCAGACCCTGCCCTAGACATGGGCTCACTGGGGCCTGCACTTTTGGTCTCCTGCTGCAGGTGACTATTAAACTTCCAGGAAGTTTTCAAGCCATTATGTTAAAACAAGAATAGTAGCCTGGCCGGTGTTGCTCAGTGGTTGAGTGTCAACCTATGAAACAGGCGGTCACGGTTCAATTCCTGGTCAGGGCACATGCCTGGGTTGTGGGCTTGATCACCAGTAGGGGGTGTGCAGGAGGCAGCGGAACAATGATTCTTTCTCATCATTGAGATTTCTCTCTCCCTCTTCCTTCCTCTCTGAAATCAATAAAAACATATTTAAAAAAATAAAATAAGAGTAGTAGATACTGAAAACTCATCACTTAATTTCTTTTATTACATTTACTGTTCCCTGTGCCCTTGAGGCTGCCTGTGCCTTGTATCCATAGGATGGAAATACTTTGTGCCACGGCCCAGCTCTTCCTGACACAGGTTCAGTGCAGTCACTTCTGGCCAAGGTGGGAGGAGTCGCACTGTGGAAATGGGCAGATGCCACAGGGTGAAAGGTAATGACGCACATTAACCAAAAAGTGTGTTTTATCTGTCGCCGTTCATTATGAACAGCACAAAAAGTGGAGGCCGTTCCTTCCAGTGTTCAAAAACTATCATTCAGTCCAGCAAGGACGTCACCTGTGTCACTGCCGAGCAAGTGACATCCTCGCAGCTCCTGCTTTTCTCTTGTTAAAGTAAGTGAAGGTCAGAACTACACTTGTTTCTCACCTGCAACTGTAGTTTGGCTATGGATTCGCCAGTTCAGCAAAAATCAGCAAAAGCCTATGAGAACCAATCATCTACATGGAAGTTACAAAAGAGAGCACTTTATATTTTATTATATGGAAATTATGGGCTACACATCTTTATCTCACTAATTTTTTCAAAATATGTGTTATGTCATTGTTAACATTTATAATTCACCTCCCCCGGACCAGGGGAGGAGGTGGTCCCTGGTTTGGTTCTCTAGGTTCTGACTGGGAGCTAGTGCTCTCTTAGTGTCCTAGGGAGAGGGGCCCCTGGAGAAATCAGCTCTCCTCCCACGCCAGGGTGGGCCCTGGAGATCCCCTCTTATAACGGGGGTTTGTCCTCCCTTCTAAGATCATCTGTTTCCTTAACAGCTCCTTCCAGTTGTGTTCCCCGAGTCCCCCGCCGCGGTAAAGGCCAGTGTGCTGGATCTGGGAGCAGGTGGAGGGGCCGCTGGGACGGCGCCAGGGAGGGAAGCTTTCCAAGTGACTACACCTGTCTCTGTTCGCCACAAAATAGCCACTTGAGGTTCCAATAGACATGCTTAAGGGCTTCGGATATGGCCTCCTACCCCTCAATTTATGCACATACAACACACACATAAGCACACATATGTACACTGTTCTCAAACCATTACTTGAATAGCAGCATGCTAGTTCACTGATATCTTATTTTGGTTCAGTTGCAAGCATATTCTCATTCCATAATGGTTTCTTAATTGCCAAATACATGTCTCATTCCCCATTCCTCTCCCCTCAATGGCCAAGCACACTGTCAGTTCCATAAAAGGTCCATCTAATTTTTTTTAACCATTTATCATTTTTTTTGGATTTAAACAATATTTTGCATGTCATTTTCCCCACCCCCTTTTTATTGTGATAAAATACACATAACATTTACCATTTTAACCATCTTTGAGTATGTAGCTTAGTGGTATTAAGTACATTCACATTGTTATGCAACCATCACCACCATCCCCAGAACGTTTCCATTTTCCCAAACAGAGACTCTTCTCCATTAAACAGTAACTCCCCATCCCCTCCCCCAGCCCTTGGCCACCCTCTTCTTTCTGTCCCCAGAATCTGGCTTCTGTGGGTCCCCCGTATGTGTGGACTCGGTATTTGTCCTTATGTGACGGGCTTACTTTGCTCAGCACAATGTCTTCGAGGTTCATCCTTGTGTAGAAGGTGTCGGAATTCATTTTCTTTTCAAGGCCAAGTCGTGGTCCATGTGTGTCTGAACCACGTTTATTTATCCATTCGCCCACTGATGGACACTGACTGCTCTCACCCCTTGGCCATTGTGACTAATGCTGCTGTGAACAGGGTGAACACATATCTGTTTGTGTACTTGCTTTCCATTCTTTTGGATATGTACCCAGAGTTGGAATTGGTAGTTCTCTGTGTAATTTTTTTGAGGATCTGCCGGGCTGTTTTCCACAGTGGCTGGACCGTTATCTATTCCCTCCAGTTGAGCACAAGGGGCCAGTTCCCTACATTTTTTGCCACACTTGATATTTTTGTTTCCCATATTTTAAAAATCCATCCTTTCAAATTATTAGGCACAATGTGATATCTGTGTGTGATCATGCTGTTGTGTCTGTGGGTCGTCTTGTCTGAATCCATGTCCTAATAGACATTTTTTATGGGATTCATCACTTACTGGCAGGGCTGTGTTCAAGTCTCCCACCCATTCTGATGGTTAATTGATTTCTCCTTGACATATTTTGTCATCTTTTGCCTTTAAATCTATCTGAATTCTTATATTTTAATTGTGTCTTGTAAACATTTGGTGGTTGTTATGGAGGATTTATTCCTGTTGGGTTTATTATACCATCTCATTAAAATGAGCTCTCTAGCCCTGACCGGTTTGGCTCAGTGGATACAGTGTCAGGTTTGGCTCAGTGGATAGAGCGTCGGCTTAGGGACTAAAGGGTCCCAGGTTCGACTCCAGTCAAGGGCATGTACCTTGGTTGTGGGCATATCCCCAGTGGCGGGTGTGCAGGAGGCAGCTGATAGATGTTTCTCTCTCATCAATGTTTCTAACTCTCTATCCCTCTCCCTTCCTCTCTGTAAAAAAATCAATAAAATATATATTTTTAAAAAATAAAATGATCTCTCTATTTCCCCCTCTGTTTTTTTGTTTTGTTTTGTTTTTTCAGACTCACTTTTTTGGGGCCTAGTTTTGGAAATAGACAAATTTTTATCCTGTCTTTTTTATTCACTTTGTTTAGATCTGTCTGGTTTGGAGATAATGCTTTATATGGTGGTTATTCTGGAGGTTACCTCAGCAACTCTCATACTGACAGTTTACAAAGTCTGATATGTATCCAATGCTTCAACTTTCAACAATACAAGGACAACCCCAACTTATATGCTTTATGATCTGGTCTTTTAGTTTTGTCCTGTTTCTTAGCTCACGAATTAAAGGTTTTACTGTTGTTCAGGCAGCCAAGGTTTGTCCAAATTGACCCATATAGTTAGCCATTTCTGTTATTCCTTCTTGTATCTCAGCCCTACCCAGGATCCATCTTTCTTTCTAAAATTGACCCTGGAGAATTTACATTCCGGAACGGGCCGGGCCGATGTGCAGGCGTGAAATCACCTGCACACTCACCAAGTGCCTGGATGGCGGTCAGTGGGGACGACTTACCCTCACGCCACCCTGTCTGTTAGCAGGAGGGGCTGCAGGCCTAGCCACCCTGGTC